GCGGGCCTCGCAGCATCTGGCTGCGGTTGCGAACTTTTGTTTCAAGATGCGCGACTATTTATAGAAGGAAAACTGGTAGGATAGTAATTTCCTAGGAGCTGGAGGAGAAATTGGCCGCGTCTTTATTAAAAGGGGTGGGGGCGGGGCAATTTATCAGGACTGTGGCCGCGGGGCGGGGAGGGGGTGGTGCAGGGAGCGGGAAGGCGGCTGCCGCCTCTGGCCGCGTTAGGCGACCCCGGACGTGGCCCGCGTGTTAAGGAGGGGGCGGGGGAGGGGAGGAGAGGGAGAGGGAGCGCTGGCTCTGAGGTTTAATCAGTAGCATCCAGCTTCAATTCCCCCAAACGGCGGTTCCATAAATCAAACTTCTTTTTAAATCGGAGGCCAGAGCATATGCGTCCCATTAGGAATCGGGCGAAGCCACGGCTGTGAGGACGCGCCCCCTCGGCTCGCAGGGCCGCCTTGGGCCCTGCCCCGAGCTTCCCGTAGCCTGGTGGGCGCTGCCCAACCCCTCGCTCGTGCGCCCTGCTCTGCGCACTCCCTGGGCCTTGATACCTGGGAGCTCCGCAGCCTGAGCGCGCACAGTGCGCGCGCCCTCCTCGCCTCCAGGAGAGGCATCTAGCAGAACAGGGGTCAAGGCCTCCAGGAGCGGCAGGGTGGCGCGAGTGACCAGAGACTTCGGGGAACAACCACGGCGCGCTATCTGGTGGGGCGCAGCATGCACGTGTCTGCCAGTGTGTGTGCTGGGAAGCAGATGTGTGCGTGTAGCTCTCCTTAGTATGGCACGCCACATGGGTTAATATGGCCTAGGGAGAAGGTCTTCCGCTGATCCAGGATCCTGCTGGGACGCGAAGGAAATCTTCACGCCCACTGGTTAGCTGCGACCCTTGCGCTCGGTGCACAGAGCCTAATCTGCAAGAGCTGTCTGGCCGCTCTAGAGCCACCTTTTCTCTGACCCCAAAGCTAAAATTGCTCATTGCCACACCTGCCCCCCAGGTGTTCTACATCGGCGGCTGAGGCCAGCAAAGTGACCCAAAGGTCCCCAGCTTCTGTGTACGCAGGGCACCCAGCGGCGCACCCCGGGACCCTCTTGCCACCTCCCCCGCCCTCCCTCCTACAGCAGTAGTGGCTAGAGGCTACCCTCTCGCCCACCCCACCCGCCATCCGCGGCACTCACAGGTAGCTGCCGCTGGACAGAAGGAGAAAGATCTGCGGGCAATAGACGGAGACCAGCGCGCTGCGCGGCGACAAGAGGAGCATGATGGGCCGGCGCGCCTGGCTGGGCTGGACAGGCCCCACCCGCAGGGCTCCTGCGCCAACCGAGGCTGGGGTCTCCGCGGCCCTCCCTGATGCAGGGCAGCAGCGCTGGGCGCTAGGGGCCAGGGCTCGGGGGCCGGGGGACAGTGGTCGCCCGAGTCTCGAAGCCAGGACCGCACATCGTGCTGTATCTGGGGCAGCAGCGGGCGCTGGGGCTGGAGTTCGGGGCGGGGGCCCGGCGGGGGACAGTGGGCACGCCTTAGCGGCTGTCTGGCCCTCTGTCCGTCTGTCGGTGCGAACGGGCTCTGTCGCTCACTCTGGCTCAAGTCTCCAAGTCTCCCGAAGCGCGCAGCTGCCATTGGACAGGCCGCCCCTACATCCGCCTCCTCCGCGGGCGGGTTTTTTTTTTTTTCAAGGGGAGGTTGACCAGAGTGTGCAGCGGGTGCCGCCCCCAGGGTTTGCCCAAGTTGCCTTGGCCGGGATACCCTCGCCACAACCTTTGGCTAGAAACACCGCTACTGAGAGCGCATCTCCGGGAGGCACTGCGCGGAGGCGTGTGCGCCTCTTAGGGGCTGTGCTCAGCAACGTGTGCTCATGTGTGCATGCATGTGCTTGCATGTTCCTGCAGGAGCATGGGCGGTTTAGGAGCCCGCAGGTGTGTGTGCACAGATGCCCTGTGTGTGTTGCCCCTCTGCCTGCATGCAGCTTGGTTAGGGATGGCTGGGTGTGGGTCCCGCTCATTGCACCTGGGCCAGCCCTGCTCTGGGGCTACAGTCTGGCGCCTAAACCACCCTCTTTATGCACCTCTTTGGAGAAGAAGGCAGGAGAAGGCCCCCGGAGAGGGCACTCACTTCTAGCTTCTTCATCTTTTGCTCTTCTTTGAGGAGTTGGTTGGGATGGGTGCGGAGAGATTCTTCTAAAGAACCCTCCCTATTCTAGTAAATATTTTTCAGAGCCCACAAACAGATTTTGGGTCTCATCTCCTATTTCTGCTGAGGCTGACTGTATTGGAATGTACTTATATAGAGGCATATGTCAGCTGTGAGAAGTCTCAGAGCAAGGGGGGGCTGCAGGAAAGGGGGGGGCTGTGTACAGTCCTGGTCCTGAAGAGTGGATCCTTGGCTCCTGGGCTTGGCCAGGCCATTCCTGGGCATCCAGGAAACAGGAACCTACCTCCCTTACCTGCAGACCCCCCTGTCCTTTCTTTGCCCCTCTGGTTCTCCTGACCACAACAGCATGAATAAACCCAGGGCAGGGCTGGTCCTGACATCTCTGTGACCTTAGCAGCACCTTGGCCTCCTCCAGGGCAGCAGCTCCATCCGTGGGGACTTTAGGTCAGGCATTGTGACTCCCTAATGCCATTATGCTTGGAACTTACTGAGAAGCCAAGGCGCTTCTGGGGTTTTGAGGGCTGAATTCTGGTCCCTGCTGTTATGGGAGGTGGCATGTGGGATGAATGCACCGGGTGGGATTTCTGGAGGCCCCGCTGCACGTACAGATGTGCAGCAGAGGCAGGCTTGGGGGCTGAGATCACAAAAGACCCCCTCCTCCGAATAAGCTATCTGGGGAGTCCCCAGGGTGGATCCCACACCCTTGATCTCCTGATTATTGGTGGGAGCCACAATATTCCACCACCATTACTTAAGGTCAGGGCAGAAGCCATGAGAACTAATGCCTCAGCCGCCCCAAAGTGGGTTAACATCACTCCACTCTTCAGATGACGGTGAGAGGCTGCTCTGGGGTAAGAGTGCGCAGAGGTACCTGCCAGAAGTGATGTGAGATGGCCCCCTCCAGAGAGATCTCAACCCACTTGAGATCTTCCACACCACCATCTATCCCTTTAGGTCATATGCCGGCCCAGCAGCCTCTCCTGCCTACCTAATGGAAGACGCACACACACACACACACACACACACACACACACACACACACACGAGAGAGAGAGAGAGAGAGAGAGAGAGAGAGAGAGAGAGAGAGAGAGAGATTACAAAGAGGTCCGATCCTCTCCTTTGCAGGTCCCAGGGTGAGTCTCTGCCTGTCCGTCATTCCTTTGGGTCTTTGGAATTTTTTTTAAAAACTCGGGGAGGGGGGGTTTCTGGAGGGAAGAGTTCTCTTCCTGGGCTCATGTGCAGAGCTGGGACCACGAAGAGGAAAGCTTGCTCAGTCCCAGAAGGTAGTGGTCACGGGCATTAGGAGCCCCCCCCCCCCCCCCCCCCCCAGGCTGGGCTAGAAGAGAGAGACCTCAGGGTCTCCCTCACCTATTCTCTACTCAACACTGACCACCATGCTGTGCCGAACAGCCGGAGCCAAAACCCGACTTCCAGAAGCTGAAGGAAGAGGCACAGAGATGAAACCCAGGAATCCAGGGGGACCCCCAAACTCGGAACCCAGGTCCTGCTATCCGACACCTTTCCCCATTTGCTGGATAGGAGGCCCTTTCAGAGGTCTCTTGTTGAAAGAATGGTGCTAAGGAAGACTGGCCAGCGGTGGAAGCCAGAGCCGGTGGAGTCAGGCACCCAACTCAAAGGCCTCGGCGCCAGAGCCAGGTAGCTGGGACCAGCCTGAAGCCTTTCTCCGAAAGGGCTGGGGATCCGATCCTTTACAGGCCCAGGAGGATCATTACAGGCTATTGAGAGTCCAGGAAGCCGTGGCCTGCCCAACCCGCCCCCACCTCCAGCAGGCTCAAAGCCGGCACCCCTCACCTTCATAAACAAACACCCAGGGACACAGCCTACCTACACAACCCTACAATAAACACAATCACCAGCAGCCGCAGACACTCCCGCCCAGGACTGCAGGAATAAGGCTAGGACCGGGGACTTCCAACCTTGCCTCTGAGGCCACCAGGCTTGGTCCCTGCCCCTCTCCGGGCCTCAATTTCTTCACCTGTAAGATGGCGGAGGTGCAAAGAGCTGGGAGGGGTGCTGATCTTCAGCTACTGTTTCTACCTCTCGCCTGGAAAGCCAGTCTCCCAGGTACCGGAACCCGCCCCTCCTACAGGTCTGGTCACTGGCCTTCCCAGGGCCAAGATGAGGCTGGCCTCCCAGGCCGGGCGGCGCATAGTAGGAGCGCGGGGCGCGGCCGGGCGCAGACGCCCGCAGGTGCTCGGGGTGGGGGTGGGAGTCCCGTCCGGGCCACCAAGAGTGACTAAGGCCCGCGAGGTGCACTGCGCTCCGTTTGGTCACACTGCCCCTCCACCCCCAATCCGGGGAGGCCGAGACAGATTCCGTCTAAAGGAGATCGCGGCTCAACAGGTAAGGACTCGGCTAGGTTCAGGAATGTGGAAATACGACTCGGAGCAGCTACGGCGGCGAGCAGCGAGTGCTGCCCGCCTGGAGCCCGCCCGGCCGCGCCAGGGGGAGCGCGGC